GGCGGCCGGGCCGGCATCGCCGCCGCGTCCCTCCGCTAGAGGAGGGGACCAAGCCAATTCTCTTTTTGCAGGAAAAGAAAAAAAAAAGATTAACATAAATTGCATGTATATATTATTAGCATAATATATACATCTGATTTTATTTTTTTAAAAAGTTTATTTTGCTCCATTTTTGAAAAAGAGGGAGCGTGGGTGGCAGGCGGTTTTTATAAATTACCCTTATTTTCTGTTATTTGTCCCTGTCCTTCCCCACCCCCTGCTGAAGCGAAAATAAGGGCAGGGACCGCGGCTCCCACCGCGCTACAAACCCCTTACCCATCCCACCCCGGCCCCAACGCCCGGTACAGTGCCCTGCACACAGTAGGCGCTCAATAAATGTTCGTGGATGATGATGATGATGATGATGAAAAAAATGCAGCATCAACGGCAGCATCAAGCGGACCACGCGAACGGTGAGCAAGCCAGAGCTTGGGCAACCCAACCCGCTGCAAAATCGAATCCTTGCTGTGGTCCTCTCCTTCCGATCCCCGGCCTCTCACCCCTTCCCCCCACCCCCGATGCGCTGGGTGGGCTCGGGGGGGGGGTTGGAGGGGAGGCTCTTGGCGTGGTGTCGTCTCCACGGAAAGGGGAGATGCGCGACAGCCACTCCGTTCTCCCCTTCAGGCCCTGAATGTCAGAGTTAATTCTGCATTTGTGGGGTGGGGGCGGGCATTCAGTATGTGGAGTACCGTGGGGCGGCGTGTCGAGGTGATTCGGGTTCAGTGTCCTCGGGCTCAACTTTCCTCCCTCGCCCCCGAGTGATGGAAGGGGGAGGGGTGTTGGTCTTGGGCCGAGCCCCTAGCCAGCCTCTCGGTGCCTGCCCCTCCTCCCCCGCCCCCTGGTTGACTAAGAAGGTCCTTGGCGGCATCCGGAAACATTGGGGACCACAGCATTTCCCCGTTTGCGCCTGTGGGCGAAGCGCACACCCCTCTCCATACCCCTTCCCTCGCGGGGGAGGCCGGGTCTCGCAATCTTGGGGCAAGAGGATGGAGTAAAAGCGTGTATTCCCGCTCCCCGAGCCTCCAGAGCACACGTCGGTAACCTAGCAATGCCCGGAGAGTCGCTGCCGCTGTGGGGCTCCCCTCCTCAGCCCTGGCCCCGGGCACCACGTGCACTTTCCATGCTGGAGGGGGCTGGGTCAAGGGAGGCTGGTGTAGCTTCTGGCCAAGCCCCCTCTTTGGAAATCGTCCTCATCCCCCCCAACCCCAGGAGGCTTGAAGCCTTTCCGGGTGAGCGCTCCCCAAGGGAGAGGATCAGGACTCATCCCTGGCTCTGATTGTCTGCTGCCCCGCTTGGTTTTGCTCAGTTCCCAGGCTTGCCTGGGATTGCTTTGACTCTTATCAATAAATTGGCGTTGTAAAAAACAAAAATATAAAACCCTTTCTCTACCTCTCTGCTACCTCTGTCACTTTGAGTTGTGCTTCAGCTGGAGACCATGATCCAATGTGAGCAGGTGCCTGGGCACCTTGCCTGGGGATGGCCTGACTCAAATGAGGGGGGCCCTCACACCCAACAGACCCCTTTGGATTTCTGCCTTGTGTGTTCCTGGATGCCAGCCTGTACTGAGATGATACTTGCTTAGGCCTTGAGGGCCCCTGGTGTAATGTAGCCTGTCGATTCTAGGTATAGAGGTGCAGGCTGACTGGATGCTGACTTTCCTGATACGGCTGCAATTTAAAATGCAAAAAAGCCCTAAAGATGTTTTCTGTTTTCTGAAGCTTGTGGAGGAAATGAGTCCCAAGCATCATGAATTTTCATATGCAGGAAGTGTCAGTGCATAATCTAGATATTTGTTATGGGGCTTTTGGTATTGCCTGGTACCAGAGGAGGATTTTTTTTCTATGCTTTAAAAAAAATGCATTTGTGGCTGTGGAAAGATGTTGGAGTAACACCCTGAAAATGATTAAGACTATTGAGTTATTGGCACTGCCTTTTTGTGTGTGATGATGGTGATTATTTTAGAAAAAAGCTGTTATAAATATCTATTAAGTCATAAGAGGTATGTGGGATTTTAAAGTCAGAAAGACATAAAATAAAGGTGGGAATGACCTCAGTTTGTCACAGTACTAACAGACTCCTTTTGAAGACATGGAGATGGAAGAGAACTAAGTAGGCTGGGTATGGTGCAGCAGTGATCCTGCAAGACTGCCACCTGGAGCAGAACTCTGTGGACTTTTCTTGCTACTTGACTATCTGACCAAAGCCTGCTGCTTAAAAGTAGGATATGAGGTTCACAATGGAAACACAGGAATGCTTTCCCTTGGTGGGAGACAACTTTTGCTTCTTTTTCCTTTTATATTCATTGGATTCCTGTTTTTTTTTGTTGTTGTTGTAAAATCATTCTTTTTTTCCTTCTCCCCAGAGGTAAACTATGCAAGAGGCACCAGACTCCCTCTTTCTGGTGAAGGACCAACTTCTCAACCGAATAGCTCCAAGCAAACTGTCCTGTCTTGGCAAGCTGCAATCGATGCTGCTAGACAGGCCAAGGCTGCCCAGACTATGAGTACCTCCGCACCCCCACCTGTAGGATCTCTCTCCCAAAGAAAACGTCAGCAATACGCCAAGAGCAAAAAACAGGGTAACTCGTCTAACAGCCGACCTGCCCGCGCCCTTTTCTGTTTATCACTGAATAACCCCATCCGAAGAGCCTGCATTAGTATAGTGGAATGGAAGTATCCTTTTTATCTGGGAAGTCTTTCTCATTTTCTATTTCAACATCTGTATTTTTTTTAAAAGGATTTGCTTTCTGAAATGACACAAAGCTGTAGCAGTCTGAAATGTGAGCTGTAGAAGATGTATAGGAGTTTCATGGTGTATGAAGGTCGTTAGATATTAGATGGCTAGTTTTGAATCTATTATTTTTTAGAGAGTGGTGTGTATTGAACCTATTGACAATGAAATATGCTGATATGAAAAGTGAAAAAGAGACTATTCTAAGATTGTACTTCATGGTAGTGATCTTTAGTGGAATCTTCTCATTCTAATGTTTTACAACTACAACTAAGGCTAAGGTTGCGTCTAGCTTTTATATTTGGTGATGCCAGTTGGTCATGTGAACATTTGCTGCATAGGGAGCAGTTTTTTTTTTTTTTTGGCTGACCAATAGTATGGCTTCTTGGAATTTCCTTTTGATAAGTTCCAGAAAACCTCTTTGAAACATGAGCATAAGGAAGCCTATTCAGGGAAGGCTTGTGTGTGCCTCTTCTTCCTGAGCCCTAGTGAGTTACAGAGCGGCCCTCTCAGTGGAGGAATTTGCAGTTGCTGCCTTTATAAAAAATTCTGCCTATGTCCTTGGACTGAAGTTACATTTCTGGGTGTCTCTTTTGTATTTTTAAAACTGAACTAAATGCTCCAGGATGGTTGTCATGTCCTAAGACTTGGGAAAGTATCGTGCTCCTCGGCTTGCTTATCCCTTTCCCCAAATCTGGAGGCCAAACTCCAGTTCCTGTCATCCTTTGGAACAGATTGATGGAGGCTGGCTTTTTGAGCAAATACCTTTCTAATTAATCTGATTATTTCCTTGGCCTGGGTAAAATAAAGCATTTTCTTCCCCTAGAAGGGTGTTTGGGGACTGACAGGGTCCTCAGAGCTGTCGTTACCCAGAGGCAAGAGTGTGAATATAGAGCTTTCTCTCTGTATGTATCCCAGAGGACATAGCCAGCTAGTAAGTAGAACTCTAATAATGTAAGTACCCAATGAACTATTTGCACACCCTCTGTCTTAGCTGGTTATTTTCTCTGCTCATGGTCAGGAGTTAAAATCAGGCAACTGTCTAGAACAGTTTTCAGAGAGAGCAGCTGAATGCTAGGGTATGTTTCCTTATGCCTTTTCTTTTTTAGAACAGATGCTATGGTATCTCTTGCATAGTTGGGAGTTTATGTGTACATTTTTCTCGTTAAGTTCTTCTTTCGCCTGAGGACAGCACTTGTGTCAGGAAAGAGATGGCTAAATTAGGGTGTAGCTTAGTGGTCTCACTGGAGTCATGGTCAGCGACTGCATTTGCCAGAAAGATGTCTTCCTTCTGTGGTTGGCTTGATGTGATTCTGAGTAAGCAGAAACTTCTCAGTGGGGTTATTAATTTTTATAGGTAGAGTGTGATAAGAGGCCTGATGTTTTTCTTTGTGCACAGTAATTTGTACATAGCATTTATCTGTAAAGAGTAAATTTCTGGATCATGCTGCTAGCTTCCTTTCCTCAGTTACAAGACACAAGTGCATAGGAATTGGGGTATGTGACTGTCCAGGCAGAAGCCTGCTTATAAGTGGAACAGTTTTGAGAATACATAGATATTAAATGATGCATGATCTATTTATTTTTTTTCCAATGGCAGTGACATTCTATTTCAGGGAGCAAGTTACAGAAATCCTTTCCAAACAGCTATGTCAGGCCCAGTGAACACTGGGAGAGGAGAGTCTGTTTTGTTTTTATAGACAGGCATAGCAGTGTCTTAGACCCTGGGTAGTGAGAGATGTCCTCTTACCCAAAAGAACTGTTAAAGTTAGACCTGCTAGTTTCTTGTGGCAATGGGAAGGTGGCCTCTAGTGTCTGGAGACTGAAAGTAGAACAAAATAATAATAAAAATACACTTTATATTTACCCTTCCAGAGCGGTATAGTATTTTCTCATATTTGCAGGCTTATCATGTACATCATCAGGGAAATTGCAAAGGAAGAATGATGATATGGGGGACAGGAGAGACTAAGTGTGTTTTTATGGAGAATTACTTTGGGGGAAATTAACTTAAATTTCAGTGAGGATCTGCTGAGAGGAGAAATGACAAGAAAATTTTGTTGTCTTCTTCAGGTAGACTATCTTATTGGATGCCTGGATCCTTAGATAAAAGATTTTGTAACACTGGGTTTGAAATAAGAGAATAAACCCATCAAAGTCAGGAAAGAAATAATGTTATTTCTATCTTTATTCCGATAAGTTATCAAAGCAGTTCAAAGGGCCAGAGGCTTTAGGAAACCCAACGTATCTCCAGTGAGATTTGGGCTCCTTGTTTCTTGTATCAGTTTCGGAGTTCCCAGAAGGGTATCAAGACTGTTCATATCCTTGAATCTTAGTACCCTGAGAGATTGAGTTAAACCATGGCCTTGCCTCTGTGGGTGAGTGTATAGGAGCATTATTGTAAAGTCAAGCCTAGGAACTGCTGATTAGGTTGGCATTCATAAAATCCTGTGTTTGGAAAGGCTGAAAACCAAAAGAAGAAAAGTAGTCATCTTGGCAGATGTCAACTTTTATCTTGCCAGTTTTGACAATGTCTTTTACTAACACCAGCATGTTTAAGCAAGTATCTGTTGAAGGCTGATCTCAAAGTGATTCCTCCAACTGCCCTCGAGATTTGAAACTGTTAATGCCCACTTTGAAAGTATTCTGGTGCTGATTTCTTATGGCTTTTAAATTTAATTTGTTTATAAATTGAATACAGCAACAGCACATTATAAACTAAGCTCCAGTCTAGCTCTAATTTGAAACAGTGATAGCTATTGATTACTCCAGTAGAGAAAGCAAAAGAGGGGGCTGAAGCCTGGCTTGCTTATCAGTGTCTGAGGTATTGGATCATGCCACTAGAGAGTGAAAAAATGGAGAAAGTCCTAGTCGCTTTGTCTGCTCAAATCCAGATGGCAGATTTACACTGACCCTGCCAGGAATAGCCCTTGAGAAAACGGCTATAACACATGGAATCAAGGATCTGCAGAAGAGATTTACCTCAAGATTGCTACTTCTCTGTAACAGCTGGGAATTTAGCAAGGCCCTAGTTAGTTTGTTAATTTAAGAAGAAGAAACCTGGTTCACCCACTGCCCTAACTGGCTGTTCAGCACTTTTAGGTTTTAACATACAATGTGCAGCAGAAGAATGAGTGCAATGTGATCATCTGATCCTTGCAACAGAAGAAAAGGACATGGAGAGGTCATTTGATAGAACAACATATTGTGAGATGACCAGCTATGATTACTTCTGCTGGAAATCTAGTAGATGGGATAGTCAGTTAAAACACAATTTGTGAATGTCATTGTCATTTGAAAAGTAATTCAGAGGTGGTATGATTGAGAATGTAATAAGAGGAATGGTTTATGTTTTCATAATATATGTACCTTAACGGAAATTTTTTCAGACCATTTGACATATTTATATTATTGGCTATTTTTGCCAATTGTGTGGCCTTAGCTATATACATCCCATTCCCTGAAGATGATTCTAATTCAACAAATCATAACTTGGTAAGTGTCTTAGAGTTTCTTGGCTGTCCTGATGTGTGGTTATTACTTGATTCTGTACTTAACCTGGCAGTTGGCTTTGAGGGTGGTTGAAGTTTATGTCATGCAGCTTTACAGCTGTATTATTTATTTATTTTGACCCATGCTTACATTTACACTGAATACAAGTGTTTAAAATCATGGATCTTATACAAATAGATGTGGAACTTTTTAATGGAAGGAATTTATAGCAGGTTTTAAGATAACTTTTCTCTCTATATAAGCTTTTGCTGTTTACCACTCATTTCCTGATAATGTTAGCTTGCTTTTTAAAGAAAAATTTAGTGCTATTTGGGAGTGATAAGTACTTTGGTCAATTTTTTCTGGTAAGTAAAGAATTACAGATTTTTATACATGACCTATGAATTTTTAATTGAATATAGCATAACAAAACTAATAACTACAAAATTTGGAGAATAAAAAGTATAGTATTAGAGTTTCTACACCAGGTCCTGTGAAGTGCCCCAAGATAAATTGAGTCTAAAGTTAAGTTTACCAGGATACTTCTGTATATTTACTGTCCTCCTAAAGATTTATAGTGAGAATTAGCCAAGTAAAAGCTCTGGGAAGTTTTGCAGTTAAAAAACAGGCTTCATTTTTGTCTAGCTCAGTTCTTAAAAGCAATTGGTTATGGGTTCTTTAAGCTGTTTTTTCTCCCCTGAAGACTTTAATATCATGAAGCCAGTGTTCCATAGAACTTCTTTTGGGAAAAGTTGATGTAGGTTTTGTTGCTTTTTTTTTTTAAGGTCCTAAAGAGCACTGGACTGAGACTTGGAACTTGTCCCACTCATTTGTTAGCTAGTTGTATTTGGGGGTCTTTCTCATACCCACATACCCTTTCTGCCTTGTCATTCATCTTCATGACAGTTGAGGGAGTAGGATAAGATCACCAGGGTTTAAAAAATATTTATTTTTTTTCTTCTGACAGTTGCAGTCTTAGTTTGATGATTCAGAAGCCATTTCAGGATTTTTCTAGTGCTAAGACATCTTACTAGCAAGGGTCAATATTATTGGAGGCATGCAGAATGGTAGATAAAATGCTGGCTAGCTGGAAACTCTTCTGCTTTCTTTTCTAGTTACTTTCATTTGGTTTTGGTTTCTCATGTTAAAGCTGTATTTGAGCAGGGCTAGATGTTCTTCCCTGAGCAAGTGTTACAAAGGTGAACACATGAGACTCTCCCTAAATATAGAGGGTTTTTCTGGTTTCTAAAGAGAGTGAAATTATGCTGTTGTGAATTTACCTTTCATTGTTTATGTCCAGAATTTCTCATTACATTTTAAAATATCGTGTATATTTCAGGAATAACATGATGTCTACTTGTATTTATATTTTGTTAGCATGATTTCTAGAGAATTTGCAGGAATTTTTAGCTTTTGCTGCTGAAAATATGACTGTAAATGTGAGCTAAACACCTACAAACTGTTAATATATATTTATATGAGGCTTACAATTGTGGACACTTACAATGGTTTTCAATTTGGTTGTAGACATGTGATGCTAGATGATGGTTGAAAGGCAGAAGTAGTGAAAATTCTCCCATCAATGGAAATGGATCATTCTAGTCTAGGCCACAGATGGTGTTAGCCTTGTTACCAAATTTAACCATGAGGGTGGTGACCCAGTTTGTTGCTTTTTTGTAGATCAAGAGAATATGATTAAACAAACTTAGAAAATATATACCTTCCAGAAAGGCAGATTAATTGAGATCAATGGAATAATTAATGTAGCTGCATCTGTAAGCCAATTAATATTCGGGTTATTTCCCCCAGCATAATTCAGGGTACTGATATAAGTACTTTTGGACCATTTGGATCCTTCAGCTAAGAATGAGGAAGTAAATACAGGACACAGTGGATAAATCTCTCTTCTTTCCCCTTGTAGCTTCTTCAAGTGGATCCTTTTTTGATAATTCTTAAACACTAGATTTATTCTGAAGTGAGATAAACAGTGTGTTAGTTTGGCAGGCTGTTCTAAAAGCTAGTGTGTGTGTTTTTTGACCTCTTTACTGAGTATGCTAGAACTCATGGCATTAAAGTTCCTATCTTGCTTTAACTTGGATGGTCATGTGCTAGATGAATTTATGTACTGCCAGTTTCTCAGTATTTCCTTTTCTAGTATGGGAAGGGAGGATCTTTGTGGATTTGCCCGTGACTCTGAGCAAGGTCCCATGCCATGTCTGTCCTCCCATCAGGGATTCCAGTTTTTTTTTTTTTTTTTACATTTGACCCAGTTTGTATTAAAGTGATTGCTCTATTTTGGGGGTTGGTTTAGAGGCAGCTGAACAAAGCTTATTTTTCGTCTGTAGTAAATACCTTTCATTTAATGTGACTGACAAAACAAAGGGCAGGCTGACACGAGTTACACAGTTGTGTGTATCGGGGAGTTGGTGGTTTTCTTTTCCTGATAGCTTGCTGGGAAATGTGTCTGACAAGCTCTTAGGGTGAAATTCAGCCCCAGCTCTTTGGCTAGTGTTCCTGGCTGTTTCAGGTCATTTGAAGTGAAATTAATACTTTTGTTGGATATGGAACGTGGCTTTCCCTAGGGGTTCAATGTGTGTTTGGTCTGGGTAGTGTGTAACTAAGCCATCTTTGGTAATTTGGTGACTACCTTAAGGGCAGCAAGTTTTCCCAGAGTTAGATTGTTTTAAAAATATAAAATCTAAGTTTTTGTGCAGCATTCACTTGCGGACTTGTGGGGACTACTGGAGGCTGAAGCCATGGTAACAACTTGCTCAGTTCCCACAGCAGTGGCCCTCTTCACTCCATCAGTCACTGTATTTCCTCAGTTCCTCTTGCAGAAGGAGGGTATCATTTATTTTTTCTGTTGACATCAAGGAGGGAGCTCTTCTGTGTCAGGTGCCAGATGATTATAATTTATGCTTCCCTGTGATGAAAAACACTTCATGTACTAATCCTCATTTTCTCCTAAGCAAACTGTACAGTGGGACAATTTTTAGTCTGGGCAGCCTGCTCCTGGTATTCTCCCTCCCCAGCCTCCCTCCCTTTTTTTGTGGCACTGAACTGCCTCAAATTAGAAACATCCAAAATGAGGATCTCCCATCTGCCAAGTCAGAGCTTCCTTGCTATCTGCTGATAACTGTATCCACCTCTAAGCCTGCAGGGACTGTCCAGAGGACAGGGCCTCTTTGTGGAGGTCTGGCTCATATTAGGTGCTCAGTAAATGGTTATTAAACTAAACAAAAAGTTTTCTTTTTAACCAACTCTTTGACTTCTTTCCTGATTCCCTGCCCCTTTTGTAAAAATCTCGTTGTTGAGGCCCGTATATTTGTATTTTTAGCTTGTTGACATTGGCCTCAATAACAATCCTCTCCATCTTCCATTTTCTCTCCATTTACACTAGTGTCAGATGATGCTGGTGTGATTTTGAAGGCTTCTGCAGCTACTCACTGCCCACCAAGGTGAGGTTAGACCCCACGGTGAGGTTGCAGCTTGGTCTGGTCTGACATTTTTTGCTTTATCTTTCATGTCTCTCCTTCATAGTTTTCCTTTTCTATTTGTCACCCAAAGTTCTTAAACACCCCTTCTTTTATTTGTCTGCCTCCTGGCTTTTCTTATACTATTTTGTTCATGTGAATGTCTTTTTTATCCTAACTACCAGAAGTCATGGTCCTTACAGATGCTTGAGAATGATTCGATTTTTTTCTGTGATGGAATGAACGAATTTCATTTTTGGTCATATTGGGGTTTGAACTCAGGGCTTTACATTTGCTAGGAGGCCTTGTACCATGCCTCCAGCCATTTTTGTTCCCATTATTTTTCAAGTATGATATTATCCTCCCCCCCCCCCCCGCAAACCCCTGCCTGTGGTGATCCTCCTACTTACATTTCCTGAGTAGCTGGGATGACAAGTAAACACCACCATGCCTAGCACTTTTATTGATTGAGATGAAATCTTACAAGCTTTTCTCCAGTGCTGCCCCTGAGCAGTGATTGTCTTGATCCCAGCCTCCTAAAGTAGCAAGTTTTATAGGCATGAGCTCTCATACCAGCTCCAAATAAACAATTGTACTGGAACATCTTTTGCAGCACCTTGTGTATAAAATGCTCTCTACTTGTATACATATAATACATATATAAGTAGTTGCATTTCTTTATTAATCATCTATAGAATAAATCAGAGAGAACCGTTTCTGAATCCCTGCCCTCTCTGGCATAATCGTACATGTTCGGCAAGTAAGTATTGATAACTGCCAAATGAACAAGCCTCTTGGAAGAAGCATATCCTCCTTTTTTTCCTCAAGTCACCATTTAGGATCTTCTTGGGTGGTAGGTCCCTTGTTGGCCCTTGTGCAAGTCCATGTCTGGAAGCCAGTGGAAGTTTTTCATGTTGTTTTTGAAAAGCTTAGTGTCAATGACTCTTGTCCACCTCTGCCTGAAGGAACCCTTAAAGCTGGGCTTAGCCAAGAGATCTTGTACCTTTTGGGCTCTGGTTCCAGGATTCACCGTAGAGAGACAGTGGGCATCTCTGGGAAGCTGTACTGAGCTATGCATTCTTGCAATGACAGGGAATGCTGTGAAAGTCTGGTGTGATTGCTTTCTCTCTACCATGGCGAAGAGGCTTGGGTACTATTATTAGCTGGGCTTAAATAGCAAGCTTATTGGATCTTCATGGTTTTATAGTTTAGACTCTTGTCAATTTTCAGAGTGCAGTGAATTGTAATAGGGGACCTGAAACACAAATTTGTAACCTGGATCATTGGGCTTTGCTGAAAAGGGAGGTACACGTTCAGCCCTTCATCTTGTGAGAAAAGCCATCTTTTCAATTGAAGTGGGTTGCTTAAACGTTTCTGCTTTGGCCTAGTGGCTTGGTTTTTGTTGAATTATCCTGCTAAGACAGTATCAGCAAGTAAGGAGCAGAGGGTGTGAGTAATTAAGATATCCTACTCTCTTCATACTAGTCAATCATGAGCAGATTGTGAGCATGAGCTCAGCCAATTCCAGCA